AAAGACTTGGTCGTAAATATTTTTTTCTCATTAAAATAGACTAGAAGACAGAACAAATCCCAGTGTTTTATTAACTTTCCTTTAATATATAAGTGACTGTTTTGAATGATAGAAATCTCATACGAGCTATGGAATGCCTACCCCCAAATGCCCTGGTATGGCCGAGAGTGGGGAGGGGCCACCCTCCCTTTCGAAATGCTCTCATATGGCCACGCGTATACAGCCTCTGCCAGAGAAGTCCTACTCACTGCCTTCTCGTGGCAGGGGTGTTGTTTACGAAATTGAGAGGACGAAAAGCGAATGTCTGGCACTTTAACCGGGTTGGTGGACACGGACAGTTGACCTAAGAGAATTGGGAAACCCTGATTCCAAACCGATGGTGCACATAGGCTCCGGTATCCTGAGGGAACAAATGGAGTATGAATCAATCGTTGGTCACCGGCTACCATATGACTGCATCTCCTCACGATGCTCCACTGCCTTGTGGATCAGACCTTTAGGTTTAAGGCTCTGGGTGTGGCCCCCTAAGAAAACCACCTGCTTGAGTTTGGGCACCTGGGCAGTATCACAGCGCTCACACAAATCTCATTTGATTTGTGCGGCGTATATGTATCTGGTACCCGTTTGTACCGATATTTATGTGTATAAATAAATAATAAAAATATATCAAAGAAAATGATAATTTTCCCTTTTTCCAACTTCATTAGTAAAAATATCGTTTGTTAATATTTATTTATTTAAACACATATATATTGGTACAAAAGGGCACCAGATACATATGCGCCACACAAAATAATGAAAGTAGGTAGATAAAGGATGAAAAGATAAGGCGGGCTGAAATGTACAACCAGAAGACTTTTTCAGTTAGGAAAGTTAAAACCATTCTTTATGTAGAAAGTAAAAGAAGGTTGCAGCAGGATCGCCACTGGCTTCTATTCTGAGCCATATCCGATAACGTCTCTAGCCACTGTGTTGCACTATCTCTCGGACCCCAACCAGGGAGTCGTGAAGGACCAACGGAAGCTAGCCCTTTGCAGCTCTCTTTCATGCCACGACACCATGTCATACACTGACCTCCTCTCCGCTTTCTCCAACCAGTCCCAGGGTCGGCAAATAATGCACGACGCGGAAGTCTCTGGGACGACATTCGTAAAACATGTCCGAGCCACCGAAGTCGGTGTTTCAAGATGGTGACACCAATTGAATTATCGTCTCTGCGCCCGAACACACGATGCCGAACCTCTGCATTACTAACATGGTGTTGCCACTGGATGTCAGCAATCCTTCGGAGACAACGATGATCGAACACAGAGAGACGTCTAACATCCTCAACTCGGAGAGGCCAGGTTTCACAAGCATAGAGCAAAACTGCTCTCACCGACGCGTTGTAGATCCGACCTTTTACAGCCAGACTAACATCACGAAGGCGCCAAAGATGGCCCAGATTGGCATAAGCCGCTCTGGCTTTCATTAAACGTGCATCAATCTCATCACTCACGCCACCACCAGCACTTATATAGCTACCTAGATACACGAACTTCTCAACTACTTCGATCTCCTCACCATCCAGGGTGAGTACAGGATGAGAATCCTGCCAGTCTTGTAGGAGTACTTTGCACTTGGAGGGTGCAAAGCACATGCCGTACCTGCGGACACTGATTGCCTACTGATTAAGTGCTGATTGCATGCCTTGGGCATTATCGCACAGTAAGACAATATCATCCGCATACTCGAGGTCAAGAAGTCGTTCTCCAGGCAACATATCCACACCGCCATTACTTACATCCATCAGAGCTGTTTCTAGGATGTCGTCGATGGCAAAGTTGAAGAGGAATGGGGAGATCGGGCAACCCTGCCTAACCCCACTGCTCGAATGGAACAAGGGAGAAAGGTGGTTGTATGCCCTCACTCTGCCTGAGGTGTTCGTATACAGGGCTTTTAAGATGTTAATGAACTTCTCAGGCACACCCTTCTTCAATAGACAATCCCAGAGAACAGTCCTGTCCAACGAATCGAAGGCAGCCCTGATATCAAGAAACACTACGATTGTTGGCCTGCGATAAGTATGACGGTGTTCTAACATTTGGCGGAGGGTGAAGATGTGATCAATGCATCCTCGACCAGAACGAAAACCAGCCTGCTCCTCGCGAGTCAATCGTTCTCGGGTTTTAAACAACCTACGAAGAATGATAGAAGCCAATAGTTTGGACGCGATCGAAAGTAGACTTATCCCCCGATAGTTGCTACAGGAACAACGTGAACCCTTTTTAAAGATAGGGACGACTATTGACTCATTCCAAAATGTTGGAACACTTTCTTGCTCCCAAACCTTTCCAAACAACGCAGTCAGTTCCTTAGCCAGAAAGTCACCACCATCTTTAAAAAGAGCCGGAGGTAAGTCATCTGGGCCAGGTGATTTATAACGTTTCAAGAGTTGGAGTTCCTTGCGGACTTCCGCCTCGTTTGGTGGATCAGTCGTCACCGGCCATGGCGGGCAGGACAAGCTGGTTGATGTTGCCGGAGCAGCAGGCCAGTTGAACTGCCCTTTGAAAAATTCCGCCCATCGTCCAAGACGTCGACAGATGTTAGTGATTGGCATCCCGTCATCCTCGTAGATTGTTTCACTCACACCAGACTTCTTGCTGCCAGTGGCTCGGATGAGTTGGAAGAGCTTCCGGCAGTTACCAGATGCAGCTGCTGCTTCCATCTCATTAGCACGCTCCGACCACCAGGCTTCCCGGTCCTTACGCAAGCTTTGCCCGATTTCATTACGTAACAGCCTTCGTTTGTGGTCAAACTCACGGTCACCCGGAGTAGACCGACGGGCTTCCATCAGTTGTAAGGAGCCAGAAGAAACCCAGTGCTTGTAAGCGGGACGTTTCGCGAAGCCGCAAGCGGCTTTACTCGCCATTTTCATGGCGTCATGAAGATGCAACCAATGCTTACCTATACTTTTCGGTGGGGTGGTAGCTAGCCTAGAGGCTAGCTCCGCTCGATACTTACTTGCAACAGAAGTTGCAGCCAGTTTACTAATATCAATCCGTTGGTGGTGGTCAATCCTTCGGCCACTGAAAAGTAAGGTGAGATTGGCGCAGACCAGGGCATGATCAGACTCCAGATAGGTACTCCAAAAGGAGCGGCAGTCTTGTACACAACCACGCCAGCGGTAGCTGATCGCGATGTGATCAATCTGAGTCCAGGCTTGGGATGCAGAGGGAGGACGCCAGGAACAAGCTTTTCGAGGCGACAGATGGAGAGCGGATTTGTAGTACTTCACTAGAGTCTTGAATACGGGTCTCGGATAGACAACAAACGTCAACATTAAGACCTTCCAAAGACATAGCCAGCCCTATCTGTTGTCTGATCTGCATTAGTGTGCGAACGTTGAAGGAAGCCAGCTTGAACGGCGTACGTGGTTTCAGAAAGACTGCCTCAGTATTCATAATCGGTGGAAGCATTCACTTTCAACCAGACAGTGACTGGAGATCGTTTAGATAGGACAGATTTTCCACCAAGAGCGAGCTGCTGCATAAGTTGAAGAGTAAGGTTACACAAATTGGGGATAAAAGGGGGTGAATTAGCGATATGGTAAGTAATAATAATAATAATAATAATAATAATAAAGGTAATAATAATAATAATGTTAATTGTTTTGCTTTTAGTATGACCAGGGATATCGTCAATAAAGTTCATAATTTCATTCATTTGTTTGTGTGTGGGCTGTGATACTGCCCGGGTGCCCAAACCGAAGCAGGTGGTTTTCTTAGGGGACCACACCCCGAACCTTTGACCTAAAGGTCTGATCCACAAGGCAGTGGAGCATCGTGAGGAGATGCAGTCCCATGGTTGCCGTTGACCAACAGCGGGTTCTTCCGCCATTCGTTCCATCAGGATACTGGAGCCCATGTGCACCATTGGTTTGGAATCAGGGTTTTCCAACTCCCCTAGGTGGACCCTCCGTGTCCACCAATCCGGTTATAGCGCCGAACATTCGCTTTTCGTCCTCTCACTTTCGTAAACAACACCCCCGCCACGAGAAGGCAGTGAGTAGGACTTCCCTGGCAGAGGCTATATATTCGCTGGCCATGTGAGAGCATTTCGAGAGAGAGAGTAGACTCTCCCCACTCTCGGCCGTACCAGGGCATTTGGGGGCTAAACGGAATGTCGTTTGTTAATAACAAAATTTATTGAAAATATTATGCAGTATTCATAAAACTGACTACGATTGTAGACATTTAAAAGAGGTAAAAAAACCATTCAACGTAAGGAATACAAAAGACTTTAATGAAATTGATCGATTATACCAGGAATAAAAAATGTACTCATCATGTATGCACTAATTAGTTAAAATGCGTATGATACACTGACAAGGATTCTACCCAAGAAATCATTTACATAAACAATGTAATAGAATAACAAGTAAACAATGAAAATAATTCTTTCTCATTTTTGGAACTTAAACAAAACAAACATAATTTGTAAAAAAAAAATAATCACGAAAGGGAAAAAAAATTCAATGGACGATTGTTTTTATTATTTTACGTTTATAAAGACATCACAGATATTAGAGATAGTATAAAGATTGTTGTTACAGTGTATAATAATGAATGAGAACAATACAAAGCTGTCAGAATATATTGAATGTTATAATCGATAAGTAGTATTACAGGTGGAACAAAAAAAGGAAAACGAATGAAAACAAAAGCATATATATATATATATATATATATATATATATATATATATATATATATATATATATGGAGAGTGAGTTAAACAGGAATGGTAAAATATGTTGAGACTATTATGTTTATTGATATGCATCAAAATATGATTCAACACATAGATCTGACCTTCTTTTTTTATCTTATACTCTGGAAAGTTAATTATGGACAGTTGATATCTTTATTCAATAACACGATTATTTTCGCAAGGTTAAAATAATAATCAGAAAAATATATTTAACAGTAATAAACATAATAGAAAGATAAATTTCTGCTTTAAGCATTGACACCACCATTTTGAAATAATGGTGGTTCTGATTCTGGTTGTGTTGTTAAATGATGATTTGAGTATTGGGATTGATGAATAGATTTTCCCGATGTTTTAAGTATATCTTCCATGGTTACTTTACATAAATCACAAAGGGAGTTTAATATACGTTCATGAGTTAAACGTAAACTAGATATTTCTAAGCCCAATTTATTTAAACTTTCCTTGAAAAATAAAATTTAAGAGATAAAGATTATAACATATTAGAAATTATAAAACATAAAATTTATTTATTAATCTCAGTGAATTTTATCTAGAGGAGATGGATTAATGCGATCATGACAGTAGTTTATGATAGATAATTTTTGAATGAATAGTCAGACTATTCAAACTTTCTAAGACAATAAACAAACAATATTATCTTTTGTCGGTTAATTTGACAGGACTAAAATTGTATTATCTTTAGGATATTTAATTCCCTTTTTTGAATGATTTATCCATTAAGATCAAATTAGATAAATAATTAAAGGATGTCTACTATTTCTTTTTATTTAGACATATAAATATTGGTACAAACGGGTACCAGATACATATGCACCGCACAAATCAAATGAGATTTGTGTGAGGACTATGATACTGCCCAGGTGCCCAAACTCAAGCAGGTGGTTTTCTTAGGGGGCCACACCCAGAGCCTTCGACCTAAAGGTCTGATCCACAAGGCAGTGGAGCATCGTGAGGAGATGCAGTCATATGGTAGCCGGTGACCAACGATTGATTCATACTCCATTTGTTCCCTCAGGATACCGGAGCCTATGTGCACCATCGGTTTGGAATCAGGGTTTCCCAACTCTCTTAGGTGAACTGTCCGTGTCCACCAACCCGGTTAAAGTGCCAGACATTCGCTTTTCGTCCTCTCAATTTCGTAAACAACACCCCTGCCACGAGAAGGCAGTGAGTAGGACTTCTCTGGCAGAGGCTGTATACGCGTGGCCATATGAGAGCATTTCGAAAGGGAGGGTGGCCCCTCCCCACTCTCGGCCGTACCAGGACATTTGGGGGCTAAATGATGCCTACATACTGATTATATGAACCATATCATTATTTCATGTGATATAAATATTCAGATGAGAAGCGTAAGTGAAGAATGTTAGAACAACATATTAGAAGATTATTTTTCTTTTCGTATATGCGATGTAAAATTCGAATGACACATGTTAGTTAGGTAAAGTGAGACAGATATTCTGTAACCTTTGATTTGATGAAAAGTAGCACCAGATCTCAGAAGAATCTTCTGTAAAACTATATATTTACGTAGCTTTGAGAAGAATGAGTGAATCAAACATTTGTAACTGAATTAAAAAATAATTACTCATGAATCTAAGGTATCAAGGTGATAACTGGGACCAAAATTATTGTAAAAAGCATTAGTGCATATATATATATATAATTTAAAGCACATACTTTCAATGTGATATTCTTGAATATTGTATCTTCTAGTAAGTTTTGAAGTTTCTGAGAATTATCACCAAGATATGATCCTGTATCGGCATTCTTTGTCTTGACACCACTAGATAGTGAAGATATAATTGAATTATATTTTTGATTAACATTTAACATTTTTTTATTATTATGACTATCATTAACAAATGAAGTTGTTGATCCACATTGTTTATCGATTGAAACAAGGAGATTCTAAAAATGAATCATTAAAAGAGTATTATTGAGAAGAGAATCTTATTATTATCAATCAGTAGTATATATATATATATATAGTGGACTGAAAAAAACTTGGAGTGTATAATTTGGATGGATTAACAAGGCTTTCAATCATAAAAATTGATTAAGAATACTAATGCTACCCGCCTAACGAAACGATATGATACATGAGGGTGGATTATGGACGCGTGAAAAGAATGATGAATATCAAGTCCTCAAACTATTGATCTAAAGTTACATGCCTAAAAAACATTGATTCAGATACTAAGTTTGTCAAACAATGTTATGCAGCTTTATATCACCATTACGTGGATTGTTTAGCGTTAGCAAGACTTACATAGAGTGGCGGATACTTTGTTCTTCTTTGTATAAAAACCTCACCAACACTACAACAAGCATCTACACGCTAAGGATGAATCATCAAAACAGGCAACACATGAAATTGTATAAACATTCTGGTTAGAGTATGCAAAAAAGCAGAAATGTACATAATAGCTTTGATTATTATTTGATCAGATTTGATTACATTAAATCTCCAGCCCTATCAAGGAGAAAATATTTTCTACTTAAGTTATCACATATTTTGCCAATCTTCCACCGGTATAAATGCATTTGACGATTAAATTCCTTATATAGCAGAAGATGGTCACGCAAAAACACTTCAATATTATCGAGAATCGGTACAAAATATCTATGACATAATGACACTTTGTAAACAGTCACAAGGTAAAAAAGAAATATGCAATTATTTCTAATTAAGCTGACCAGACAGTTTAGCTAGATTAGATTTACATAAAAATTTTAAGATGAATATTATGAATTTCATTTATCCTCTGAAAATATCTATAACTATGTCGTGAGTTACAGGCACGTATAACTTTCGTTATGGCACAACGATTAGAAAAAAATAGCCGTTATGATTTTTTTTCGATGTACAAGTTTTCAGCAGTGCACTACCTTTTTAAATTAAATGAAATGAACATTATATTTCAAAGAACAGTAATTATCAGAATATAACTAATTAATGATGTTACTACCAGTCTATTTTTAATTGTAAATTTATAAGACTTAGGGTAAGTATATTCACAACCCTGAAATCTAATGAGTACAAATATAATCATTGGATTACTACACATTCAATCAACTATTCATATGTATATATTAATTCATTTATGAACCCTATTGAGAATCATTAAAGGATGAAATAAAGTATTTAAGTAGTACATTAGATAAATGGCATTTATAAGTACCTGAATAACTTTACTTTTTTTATTTAATTCTTCTGTAAGTTGATAACAATGTTCTTGAAAAAATTCAATTTTGTCTGTTAGTTTTACTTGACTACGTTGAAGACGATCAATTTTCTCCAGAAGTATATCACGATCTGAACTATTGAAGTTAGATGACATTTCAACTATTGTTGATTCATAATTATCAACTTTATTATTATTATTAACTGACAATGGCAAACAGTCATCTAATTGGTTAGTTACTGTATTCTTCATTGATAGTGTTGATATAGGACTAACAATTGTCTCATTTTCTCGCTTATTGTTCACCGAAAGTAAAAAATAAATGAACAAAGTATTAGGGTATACATCAAACTCAGTCATAATCAATGTAAAGTCTGATAAATATATGCGCCAGCTCGAGCTAATATACACACAATGAGATAAAGTTGGCAAGATGAATTAAAAAGGAATCAAATCCAGTTTCCTATTTAATTAGTTTAAGAACAATCATCTTTCCACAGTATGGACAACCAGGAAGTGAAAGCTGACCTCATACCTTTCTAACAGTACTTGAAATAGCTTCACTCATATTTACGCTTCATCTTCACTACCTGATGTACTAGATTAATTAAAAAGCGAATGAAACAATTCATAGTGGAGAATGTTATCTTGCCATTTGAGGGACAAAGTTTCAATTATTCATAAACGAAGTGGGATCTGTCATAATTTAGAATAGTCATAACGCTAAGGCTTTAAATTACTACAGTAAAGAGAAAATAGCAGGATATTATCATAGTATTGTAGTGAACGAGAACACAAATGAGGACAATCGAATGTATTTGAACACAAAATTACAGAATCTCTTAGTAAAATCTGAGAACCATACAGTAAATACCTCATTTGCAAAATATCAGTCAATCGTCCCAGACTTCATTGTTCATTCGTTTTCACACCAATTATTCTCCGTTCTCATTCTCTTTTCTTCGACCTTCGTAACCTTTTGCCGCCAGGTATTTCACTTTCGCCTGATGATACACGCTACTTATATCTATCGACATCAGTAACACACACCACAGCATACCGTTCTAAACAAGGTTCAAAATGAGTAGAGATAGCGAAGATACTTTCGTTTTTTATTTTTCTTCAAATCTTGAGCTCAGTATTGGTCTACATTCTTCTTTTTTTCAACTTCTGCGAACTATTACGTCTACCAATGATCTCATGGATAACCATAAATTATGAATTTCGCAACATGACTTAGACCAACAGTCAACGAATTCATAAATTGATGTTATTAATTGATTTGGGTGCGTTTAACTTACTAATGTGCTGTTCAGCTAAGTGACTCAGAGTAGGCGATGACTAACCATCTTTCATATATGTCCTGCCAATATTGATCAATAGAAGTTCAGTATTAGCTAACGATTTACTACCTTTATATAATACTCTATTCCTTACATCAGAATTATTCACACTGTGACTCCATAATCCGCTAGACATACTTTTAAAACCCAGGATAAAATACTAAATACCTATGCATGTCTCTAACCACCAAAGACCGTGTGTTACAGTAGTAAAGATAAGGAAGGATTTGTTGCAGAGTATATTACCCCATAGATGAACAGACAAACATTTCGACTGCCCTGCTGGTAGAGTAAATCAAAACAATACAACTATGAAACTTTTCTGACAATTTTCGATTTAATGTTCTCATGATTCTGCTAGGGAGACCTCATGTCATTTGATCTTTGTTGTTACATCTTAAACTTTTTAATTAAACGATAACGTTGGGGACATTTTTCTAATTAATATTTCATTAATGACATTTGCCGTTATTTGATTAGTTGTTATCCCTGCTGGTTAGCTAATTTTGTTGTATACCAAGGACATTGAGTGGTACCATATGAACGGGATTGTTCCATTTCAATTTTTACTCCTATTCAAAATATAAAGTTTCTAGGAAGGTCCCGTCTTCCCTATCTCCTAATAACGTGGATTATTAACGTTAGAATGTTGTTGTGTGTCAGTTGAGTTTCTCTCAAGTGCACCAAATAATTCAGTCATATTGGAACAAGTTCAACCATTCTGCAATTAGCAACTACCGTAGACCTAAACCTAAGACAAAACAGGTACGTATGACGATTATGGAAGTTAGGATTTTAAAGGGCAAATTAATTTGAACGAATCGCCTATGATAATCAGAAGAGATTTCAGTCCTTTCTTGTAAACTGAAATGAACAGCGATCACGATCAGACAATTGGGATTATGCCCAACTTCAGAACTCTATCTACTTTTACAGTCAGTAAAACTGACAATACTAAACAACCACCCTTGAAGACCTCGAGAATCATACAATAGAAGTTTATTTCTCCAAATTAAATTATTCTAGTTACACCTCTCTTAACTGCGTTAGCAGATAGGGTCAGATATCGATTTTTCATTCAAGATGTCAACGGAAAGCAGACAATTGCAGAACAACTGGAGGCGAGCTGAAGTGCTCAAACCATTGTTCCGATTATTTGATCTAATAGTGAATCACTGATATCAGCGACAGTTTTTACTTACGACTGATTTTCCAGATGTGTTATTAAAGCTCTAGTGAGGGATCGTGAACGATGGAGTTCAGAAATGTTAAATGTGAAACAATCGTCGTTAATGGTATGGGATTACCGTCTCACTATATCACGAATTCACTGAATTTGAAAATATGGACCTTAAATGACAATCCAGTGGCTTAACAGCTAAGTGCTCACTGAGAAACCTGAAATACCTCATTTCCATCCCTGGAAGGATCATAAGTGGATACTTCAGAGAAAAACCCATAATATGACAGATCAAATGTTCATTTCTCCCTGCCGTTCAATAGTCTCATTGCTGACATCACTGTGTGATAAACACCACTTAAAAATTAAACTAATTATAAAAGTCCTGTAACATAAAGAAGCTTTTATATAAAATCCTATTTCCATGTTAACATTTAATTTACACTTGAACTTTCTCTAAAAAAGAAACATTAAAAAACAGATGGTTTCAGCAATTCGAACCTTTTTGAATTTACCTCAGAAATAACTTGACTTAAGTCCAAAGATTTCAGTGAACCATTTAAAGAATTTGTTGACGATTTTGAATTCGACTCATTTTCTAAGTCGGATGGAGAATTAATTGTTAGACGACAACAATCTGATTGATTTCTTTTATTTTGACAATGTGATAAACGTGTTACCTCACGAGCTATATCTTTAATTCGTGCAGCATCACGCTTATGAATGGCTGTAGCACGTTCCTTTTCTTCCTTTAACTGAATTTTAAGCCAATTCTCTGATTCATTAAGTTGATTCAACTACCGGTGGTGTATATACAAGCGTAAATGTAAAAAATATGAAAAGCAATATAGACAAACTAAGTTATTGATGTTAAGTGATAACAAGCTTGAAACAGTGATGAAAAAGACTAATGACTAAATTCTATATTGAGAGACCGTATCATTGAAATCACGAACTGATCAATATTAGACCACCACTGAAAACCCAGAGGTACTGGACGGCCGTCTCATCTTAATATGGGGCTTCTTGGTAGTGCTCATCCACGATCCCGTAAGTGAGAATCAAACACAAGACGTTCGGTTTCAAGCGTGAACACTTGATTTCTAGACCAATGAGCCGGTATCCAACGTTGTTAATGTATAACTTCAACCAATCCACGATATTGCGAAACTATTTTCTATTATCTTCGATGGATAACTACCTCACACCCGACACGGTTGAAATCCCATGGTCACGGTTTCCCACTAGAACCCCGAAAATATGTTCGCGTAATATCGTGAATTTGTTGAAGTTAGACATTAACACCGTCGGGTGCCGGCTCTAGAAGTCAAGTGTCTGCGCGTGAGACCAAATGTCTTGTGTTTGATTCTCACTTGCGGGATCGTAGATGAGCACTATTGGGAAGCCCCATATTAGGATAAGACGCCCGTCCAGTACCTCTGGGTTTTCAGTGGTGATCTAACATTGATCAGTTCATGATTTCAATAAAACTCAACATTCTCCATAACCCTTTACTGGTGAAAGACTACAATCGATCGAATGCTAATGAGTAAAATCTTTTCGACGAAAACTTTGTGAATCCCGAAGATAGCATTAAAATCTGTTGACAAACAGCTTATGCGGCAGTGTTTGTCATGAAAAGGTGTGCCACAGAAGTAATATTAGCTTAGTGAAGCCTCTTTACTATTTAAACTGTTAATACAATCAGGGCTTATAGCGAACTGTTATCAGAATTAAAAATACCAGGTGATGTTAGTCAACGCCATTTATTATCATTATTTTTTTATTTAACTTAATAAGAAGTAGAAGAGAATATATCCCATATATTTTTTGGTCATTAGAAAAATTCGTAGGCCACTTTGTGACCATAAATAAAATGCACTACTGAAATCACTTAAGTAGTTTGACGATAATCCCTAGCCTCTAATATCGGCCGAAAAGTGATAGTAACTAGACAGGATTTTATAGATAATTGCCCTGGTTCGAACTTCAGTAAACCACACATACAAAATCACATACCATGAAATCCAACATATTGAACTTTTGTTACGAACATGATGTAATTCAGCCATTAGTCCTTCAATTAATATGAATTTGTGATGAAAATCAACTTCAAATTGGTTAACGTTGATTGAAGTTATTTAGAATAAGTGTTTATACAATACTTTATGTCAATCCATCATTATCATAAATGTAACACAGACGAAAGAATGATGATACGTCGATAACTGAACTGTTTTTGTTTTTTTTTGTAATATGAGGTGATCTAAGTTGTCAAATACTTCCGTAAATTTTTCTAAGAATATGAGGGTATGGTAGAATTGACTTTATCCATCACCATTAAGTTTGTAACTGTTAATACTCCCTATCTAAATAAAACTTAATTATTCAACACACGCTTTCTAAATGTTCTATAGCTTACACTGAAGTGACCAGACAATGAATAAGACTGTTCACCAAGATATGAAAATTAAATAGAGTAAGTAGAAAAGACGTAATTAGTACGACCTATCACTTGGGTCATACATTTGTGAGTTGTTTTACATTTCTATTTTGATTTTGACAACTAAAGACACAAACATACCTTTACAGATAAATCATTGAGTTCAAACTGAAGTGAATTCATTTTCACTTCTGATTCTTTACGTTCACTTCCATGCTTCTCGTTGAGTCGTACAATTTCTTCACCTTTCTCAATTAATAGATTTTTAGTTTCTTCTAGTGAACTGAGTGTAACTAAGTGCTCAGCTTGTAGATTTGCATGGCGTTCAGTTAGACGACGTGTAAAATCTGATAGCTGATCAATCCGACGTTTACATGATTGTAACTCTAATGTCAAATCATTTGCGGATGATAACTTACTGGTAAGTCTAGAATAAGAGATAGGAAGAAATATGGTTTTGAAAATGAACAGCTCACACATCTTTACTTGTCTACCAGAGTATTTTTTACCTATTGATATATATCTCAGTTTTCTTCATATCCTTGCTTGTTGAAACAATTACCTCTCTCTCCATAAATATTATAATATTATGGTACTGAGCTGTTATTACCACAATTGACAAACTAGTAAAATCAAGTAAATTTTAGCCTGGACCAGAAAAGCACCAACATCGACTAGTACCTTGTGTTCCCAAATATACATGAACCTGACTCCCAGATTGGTATCTCAGGGTTCGCCCAAGAAAACTCAGGCTGGCAAAGCAATAAAAACTTCAAAAATTTTACAATTAAATTCCGACAATATAGATCTTGAATGTGTGAATTCCAGTGAGACCGGTTTCGTAAATGCCAAGGGGTCTTACAAAACATTCAGACATTTACAATGAAGGAATAATTGATAAGAACACTAAATTGTTACATATTTGAAGCAAACAACTAACTATTTGAGACAATTGTAATGGAAGTGAAGGAAATTAGGGAGTAAAATTTATGAGAAATATATAACTTAAAAATACGAAGTTCAGTGAAGGGATCTCTTTTTCAACAAATTTATTATCAATCTGTACAATCGTATATATATGAAAATTTTTTGTTAAAGTACTGATTCCGTGAGGAAATGTGAACATGAATAACTAAGATGACGTAATATAAAGATTATAATACTAGATTACGTAATGCGAGTAATAACAATAGATTTAGTGAATATAATAAAATGATTAAAATGAATAAAATGTTTTTGTTACAAAAGCTATAGCTATAGAAGTTAGTTGGGGATGTTATACGACTCTCTGTGTTCGATCATCGTTGTCTCCGAATGATTGCTGACATCTAGTGGCAACATCATGCTAGTAATGCAGAGGTTCGGCGTCGTGTGTTCGGGCGCAGAGACAATAATTCAATTGGTGTCACCATCTTGAAACACTGACTTCGGTGACTTGGACATGTTCTACGAATGTTGTCCCAGAGACTTCCACGTCGTGCATTATTTGCCAACTCTGGGACTGGTTGGAAAAAGCGGAGGTGGTCAGTGTATGACACGGTGTCGTGGCATGAAAGAAAGCTGCAAAGGGCTAGCTTCTGTTCCATCTTTAGAGAACAAGCATGGAATGGCTAACTTTATTTATTTTATTTAAACACATACATATTGGTACAAAAGGGCACCAGATACATATGCGCCACACAAAATAATGAAAATAGGAAGAGAAAGGATGAAAAGATAAGACGGACTGAAATGTACAACCAGAAGACTCTTTCAGTTAAGAAAGTTAGAACCACTCTTTATGAAGAAAGCAAAAGAAGGTTACAGCAGGCTCGCCACTGGCTTCTATTTTGAGCCATATCTGATAACGTCTCTAGCCACTGTGTTGCACCACCTCTAGGACCCCAGCCAGGGAGTCGTGAAGGACCAACAGAAGCTAGCCCTTTGCAGCTTTCTTTCATGCCACGACACCGTGTCATACACTGACCACCTCCGCTTTTTCCAACCAGTCCCAGAGTTGGCAAATAATGCACGACGTGGAAGTCTCTGGGACAACATTCGTAGAACATGTCCAAGTCACCGAAGTCAGTGTTTCAAGATGGTGACACCAATTGAATTATTGTCTCTGCGCCCGAACACACGACGCCGAACCTCTGCATTACTAGCATGATGTTGCCACTAGATGTCAGCAATCATTCGGAGACAACGATGATCGAACACAGAGAGTCGTATAACATCCCCAACTAACTTCTATAGCTATAGCTTTTGTAACAAAAACATTTTATTCATTTTAATCATTTTATTATATTCACTAAATCTATTGTTATTACTCGCATTACGTAATCTAGTATTATAATCTTTATATTACGTCATCTTAGTTATTCATGTTCACATTTCCTCACGGAATCAGTACTTTAACAAAAAATTTTCATATATATACGATTGTACAGATTGATAATAAATTTGTTGAAAAAGAGATCCCTTCACTGAACTTCGTATTTTTAATTTTTAATGTTTAAATGGGAATTATATGTCAAATATATAACTATCTAGAAAAGATCATTTGGAATGAATACCAGCAGTAAACAAAAATGTTCCGAAATAAATTAGAATTACAGATTACTACCGAATTGAATCTAATCGTTAATTACAATGGTAATATTGATCACCCTTGCAACTTACTCATCTATACGAGATTGAGATTTTTCAAGATCACTTTTCACATTTTCCAACATTTTCAATTGTTGCTTAAGAGTGTCGTTTTCAATTCTAAGTTGTTTTGAACTAGCCTGGGCTTCCTGAAGTGCAACTTCTGAACAGAGGCGTTCAGCTTCACGTTCACGAAGACGTTCAGCCTCCTATTAGCGGGAAAATAAATAAAAATGAAAAATATTTATTTGAACATTAATTGATATGACTTTTGATTTTCATTGATCTGTCGTATCTTTATTGAAACAAAATTACAAACTAATAAGTTTTCTTCGGTGCAGTATTCTTGGACACTTGACTTCACTCGACCTGGACAAAAAAGTAAATATATTCCAAAGCAAAGAAGTTAATTTAATTTAGTAAGAAACTGTCAGTCTATACATAAATTTTACGCAGGGAAATTTTAGAGTATTTTGCGACTCCTAACTACAGTTAATTATTCAAAAAGACTAGTCAGAGCGCTTCAATATGATCCCATCTGAAACATATTTTAATTCATTCTCCATCCTGATAACATAAACTTATCAACTGTGAAATTAGAAATCTAATAAACAATTATAATCAAATTCACAGACTTTCATAACTACAACAAGGGAGATTCATAACAAGAAATCAAGAACAAACAAATTAGTAGACAAAGGAAAAGACAATAAAACTGAGTAATATCACGTAAGCCTGTTTATTTGATAAAGCACACAATAATAGCATGACTTATTCGATGAAGTTTTAGGAATAAATTATTATTTGGAATCATTATTACGTCACTTTGCGGACTTGTATCATCAGCGGTGTTAACTGAATTTTAATCCGTCTATCAAGAAACAAGTATAATCCTGTGTAGTTCCCTCTGTATTATTCTAAGGCTGTAAAACATGACCTCTGAAGGTTGTGGATATGGATAGATTGCTAATGTTCGAATACGGATATCTTGAAACCATTGAACACTTGTAATGGAATCAATAAGTGTAGATGAAACTATAAGTAATGTACTATGAATCGATTGAGGAGGCTGGGAACACCGACTGTAGTAGTGTTACTACTATAACGAAACGAGTATTGAGGAAGTTAGGACTTTGGGAACTTGTTTTCCAACCACTATTGCTTATATTTTTTTATTACATAGTTATTAAATAACTGTATTATTGTATTTTCTCATGGTAAGGTTAATTATTGTTAATTAATTATGTACCGGTTGCTTCGTTCAATTCCGTTTATGGCATGATCGTGTTTAAAGTATGATTTCTTATTTGGGTTGCTGTGACATCCGACAATTCGTGCGTATAAGCTGATAGTGCTGACCGATTGGCTGGATTAGGTCATTGAAATATGATAGTAGAAACTTGGCTCCTGACTACTTTTTCAGACTCAAGGAAGGAGATAAAGGCTTGCGAATAGGTGACTAATAGGAGTATAGCTTACGCTAGTTCAAGGTTAGTTGAACAGGCCAGAACGTATCATTGGTCAAGGCCGAGGAATAGCAGATACCGGGTAGAAAAATTATAATCGAAATTCTGATTGGCGATTTCGGTCAGAATCTGAATACAACACTACCTATCACCTACCAGAAGTGATATGCTTTCTAGCATAAGAGTAAATTAGAAAGAGGTTAGGGGTGATCAGACCAAAATGATATCAACGTATAGGGCTGAGTCCAGTTGGGAGGTTCAGAATGCCTAGCCTGGATCCACAAAATGATCACAGTCTGTGATTGAAAAGTTTATTTGATTTTAATCGGTTACTAATAATTCAAACCAACGGACATCGATCTTGAGGACACAGATGCATAATGTTTTCCATAGTTACCTCGATCTATGTAAACCCATAAACTGATTAGATAAATTACATTCTGCCTATTCAACTGAGCGCTTAACATTAAAGCTGAATATTTGGTTCCTCATTTAAAAAAGAGAAAATTCTTCGAATGCAAAAGATTATCGAATACATATTTTTCAAATAACTCCGCCTGTAGCTCCTCCAGGGGCTACTGCCGGTCCCAAGCCCGGGTAAAGGAGGAGGGTTGGGCATGGGGTTAGCGACCCCATCCCGTAGAAAATCAACTCGCTAAAAAAACGCTAACCAGAAAAATCATATTTTTCTAATATTATTTACCAGCATTTCAAGTGGTCGTACCCCATAACCAACCAGTGAAAGTGTACTGCTGTTCAAAAATATACTGAATTATTGATAAGCGTATCTTGCCAATCCTGAAGCTTAGGTAAATTGATTAATCACAATCACGATTCTTACATCCTTTCCGAACACTGTCTTAAATTTATATGCCCGCTCCCTTGGCACCGGACAATAACACACACTAAGGGACATTTCTAACCTTTTGGAATAGCGTTCCAGGGTTCTTGTGTTCAAATAGAAAGGTGGTTTCAAACATCGGATTTACAATACATAAACCTACGACCCCAGAAAATGAGTGCATGTTTATTACTTTAAGAACAAAAATTTGGTCCAGGAAGTCTACCGTACATAGAAGAATATTGTTTCAGAGAGATGTTAATGGGGTCCAAATGTAGTTAATCATTTTACCTTGCCTAGATAATGTAGTGACTACATGATCTATGTATAAATCTTATAAATAGTTCCTGAGAACTATCAAGCTTAGGGTTAGTATGAAATCACAACGAAGACAGAACATTTTACGACACAATTTTATTTGACAATCATTTGGTAGTGTTCTAATAGATGACTAATAATGTGGGAGCACTGAGGTAAGAAAGAAACGGTTGTAATTGCAAACTGAAAGCACTACATCTAACGTCATCAAATCGACCGAATCAGCGAAGGAGTATTTCAAATATTTTCACAGATGCTTCCCCTATATTTTTATATATTTGTAAGTTTTCTCTAAATTTAGTGTTTACCAATGTAGTGGCGTGGGGTTGAAATTTAACTGCGATAAATTTAAATATATATCAATACAAAAATGTATTTAGAACAATAACTGACCTTTGCTTGTTTTAGTGCATTTTCTAAAGACTTGTTAACACGATTCAAATTTTCAGTCAAAGATGAAGATTTTTTTTGCTCACTTTTAAGTGACTCTTGAACTTGAGATAATTTTGACGTTAATGCACTTATACGTGATTCATCAGTGGACTGCTTTTTAGACAAGCTTTCGATTTGCTCACGAGCTAAAGCAAGATCCTTAATAAATAAAAATGAAATGGCATCAATTAATTAACATGAACTATATATAACAGCTTAAAATCAAACTAACAAAATAAAAGGCGGATAGTTTGGGCGCCTCAGAAGAAGCAGTAGTTCTTTATTGACACCATCTTAATAGTGACTGCTATCAATAAAGTTTATCTATATCCATCGTTCAGTTGATGTCAATGATCACTAAATTTGGACTCTGATTATGTCATAGTATGACCTCTGAATGATTAGGATTGGTGCTTGGTAGAAATTAAGTCGTCTGAATATAGTTGCAGCAAACAATATTTACCAGGCTAGGATACCGAAAGACCCACGCAATTTTATTTCATCTTGAGTTAACCTACGTACTTGACGGTTAAAATGACCTACTACAATTAACTATACCTGAACACCTTAAGAGTAGAAACCATTCTGTATAATTCATCTTTCACTTCATCCAAGTTACAGTCACAGGAAGCGTAAATAAGGATTAAAAGGAGGCGCACTGTCCTAGCCTCTCGAGTTTTTACTGTCCTATTTAAATATACATCAACAGTATGGGATTCTACAGTCTCAGCTAATGAAGCCTGTTGTCCGATTCGGGGAAGAGTTTGAGAATTGAAAAGTCCAACATTTTATTTTTATTTATTTGAACACATAAATATTGGTACAAAAAGGCACCAGATACATATGCACCACACAAATCCCATTTGATTTGTGTGAGGGCTGTGATACTTCCCAGGTGCCCAAACTCAAGCAGGTGGTTTTCTTAGGGGGCCACACCCAGAGCCTTTGACCTAAAGGTCTAACTCACAAAACAGTGAAGCATCGTGAGGAGATGCAGTCCCATGGTAGCCGATGACCAACGATTGATTCATACGCCATTCGTTCCCTCAGGATACTGGGGCCCATGTGCACCATTTGTTTGGAATCAGGGTTTCCCAACTCCCCTAGGTGGATTCGCCGTGTCCACCCACCCGGTTAAAGCTCCGGACATTCGCTTTTCGTCCTTACAATTTCGTAAACAAAACACCCGCGCACGAGAAGGCAGTGAGTAGAACTTCCCTGGCAGAGGCTATATACGCGTGGCCATATAAGAGCATTTGGAGAGGGAGAGCGGGTCTTTCCCATTCTCGGCCGTACCAGGACGTGATTTCGGCACTGGTGGAACACGTAAAAAACGATGAATCACGAGGAAGATTGATAGTGTGAATCGAAGAAATATTAGGAATTCAAGACAGGGTCAGAATGTGAACAAGATGAGCTGTTGCGTTATTAGAGGTGTGCAGGCGGTTGTCGATTTCCAACTGCTTATACCATAAACGGTTCTTTATACTGTTTGGTTTGCATTGTTCTTGTCAAGCTAGAAAAGTAACTCTAGCGCTCAAGAGACAGATGCTTGATGCCAGTTTAAAACTGCTTGTTTGTGAGTAGATTCCTGTGTATCAGCACTTAATTTCATACTTCACATCAACCCTATGAAAATCATGAGTTATAGTGAGGTGTGATGTTTTTGTGGTAATCCTTCTCTAACTCCTACTCCTATTTTGGTGAGGCGGGACATCTGAAGATGATAGTTATCCGTGAGACACTTTCCAGTCAAGAAACCTCAGTTTAGTTGGCAGTTTGACTTAGCCATAGAACTTAAAACTCGTTGAATACGGTCTTGCTGTTATCCAACCGCCCTACACATTATGGCAGAACCTCAAAGAACAAATTTTCCAGCTAATATAACTTGATAGAGTCCTAAGAAAAGACAAGTTCAAACACCAAGTTAAGGTACCAGTACAGTCGAGAAGTAGATTGTATGATAAGTCCAAAGACACCGCATTACTCACCAAATATGAACTTGGAGACTGCAAGCCATAGCAATTCCTAAATCATGTGCGACAATTAATCAGCCCCATAATTTGGATGATGCAGTCATAAAAGATATATTTGTAAAGATTACTTCGTAATGTACTGTAGGTATTTAATATCCCCCCTGAAGTCGATTAATTTCAAAAACTTCACTGACGTGGACGATAGAAACATTGAGGACAATCCAAAAACTAATACGATGAATATCTTAAGGAGATTAAGCATCCCAGCTCATACTAAGTTTCTAAAATATCAGTCAACTCTACAACTTTGATTGATCGCTCGACATCAAAAGTTGAAAATTCCAAGTTGTTCGTGTTCCAAGTTCACTTTAAACTCAATGGATTTGAATAACAGGGTTACTCATGTGGTACAAACGAAATTAAAGATTGGAAGACTCATAATTCGCTAATTACATAACAGTATAATGTACATTATTTTGTAGGAGTGGAGCAAGGTCTCCCCAAAATAGGATTACGTAGACTGTAAATATTTATCACATATGTTTTGTTGAGGATTCCTCAAAAATGGTGAAGCCTCTGAGTGACTTACGCTAATGTTGAATAAAGTGTACTCACGTGGAGGCGGTAAGCCAGTTGGATAGGATGAGAATCTTTATCAAGTGAAATTTTAAGATATGCTACACAAGTTCAAGATGTCTGACGAAATCTCTGGATGAATTTAAAAAGTTCAACTGGCGTTCACCAACTTCGATCACAAGTAGCTTACGCGAGATATCTATCTGACAACCAAAAAAAACAAGTTTACTGAGCAGCAGTCCACTCCATTTTACTTTATGAATGTGAAACACGGCCATTAAAAATATAGCGTATTAGCAGATTACTAGTATTTGCTCATATGTGTCTTCATAGCAGCACTTATGTATTTAGGGACTATTGAGTGGGCGATTCCGAGGCTAGGCATAGGATACTGGGTAAATATGGCAAATCGAGTGATGAGATAATGGATCCTTAGAAGCTGAGGTGTTCGCGACATGTGTTCTGTATGTCCATCCACCCCCAACCTCGACGGGCAATGTTGTTTGATGTAGGGGTAGGATGGAAAAAGGCTAGGGGTGGTCAAACCGAGACGTGGCACCAGTCCATGAAGTCATTTAAATCTGGCCTGAACCATGTTAATTAGTGAAGAATACATAGTTGAAGTCCATGCGATTAACGTAACTAATATTCGCGGCCAACACACCGCTTGCAAACGCCCTGGTGCAGCTAAGGGTGGGAAGAATCCGCTCCACTCAAAATGCCCTCATATAGCCACACATATAAAGCCTGTGTCAAGGAATTTCTACTCACTGCTTTCTCGTGGCCGGAGTGTTCTTTGTAAAACTGAGGGGACAACATAGAATATCCGGCATTTACACCGGGTTAGTGGGTATGGAGGATCTACTTGAGGGGGTTGGAAACGCTGTACTAATTTGATACGTCAACTTAAACCGATGAACATATGCCAGGTTTTACTTAGCGTATGACTAGCTAACTGACAAATAGCTGGTTCTTAATACATAATAACTTGCCTAGAATTGTAAATATACATCACAGCTTTCGAAGCAGTCAGTCAGCTACAATGTAGGACCAGGCACATATATGCATCGGTCCAAGTTGCCATACCTCGTTAGCACAACAAGATGAACACCGGATTCATAGTAGTTAATTTAGTGGTAGTAATATATAAACGATAGGTTGTATATAAGGAAGAAAGAAAGATATGAAGCAATTTTAATCTCAAGGTTTAAGGGAAGATAAAGAGTGTATACACCTACGCCATTGTGATCGATTCTGAGCCACGTCACCTAGAGTCTCCAACCATTGGTTACGATAGTCGCGCGGACCCCAACCAAGTAGTCTGCATCTGCCAACATGGCTCAGACTAGAAGTTAGTGACTTCAAGCTCTGATGCCACGTTTTGGTTTGGCCGCCCCTAACTCTCATCCAACCATCCCCAATACTAGTCAGTATAACGCGTCGTGGTACAGCTATTACTAAGACCCCTGTAGCAAAAAATGACGAAATACGTTACGTTGATTCATGGACCACGATATTTAAAAGCATGATAAATAACACTATGACTAGGGAAACATAAAAGCTAATACAAACCTTTTGAAGATGTTCTATGTTAGATTTCTGATTTGAGTCACTGTTTGCTATCAATGAATTTATCACAGATGTTTTATGAGGTTGATTTCCCACTGAAGACTTATCCGTATCATCAGTCTTTTCAGTTCCCTCCATCTGTTGATGTTGTTCGAAGCTATTTGAATTACATAGACGACCTATTTTACATTCCAGACTGTGAATCTGTTGCTCTAATTGTATTCGTTTTTGTTCACTCTATTGAAAAAAGAAAATTAAATAGGTAGAAATAGTTATCAAACTTTAAAAGACTAGATGAAACAATAAAATGAAACGTCACGTAATGAAATCAGAATAAACCAGATACATACTGATTATACAACACTTATTGGAGGAAACGATTTTACCAGTAGACCGTACCTTGCACGCCCACATCTTGATTATAATTTACAACATCTCCTTAGTTACTTAATCAAATTTCAACAATCCTTAAGATCGAAGTAACTGTGAAGCGCATTTAGTAAAATTGGTTTAAAGATTAGAAAAATATTTAGTGCATTGTAATCAAAGACGGATAGTTGCTAGCAGTGGAATCCCGAACACGCGTTTCGTCAGCTGGATGTATCTAAATCTCTGCTTATAACGCTTGTAGCTTAATAGGGATATTGAGACGATCTGCACAGGATGCACATAAGCCAAAAGATGCTGGTCAATCGCAGCCCTAAGCACCAATGGAAGGATCTAAACAACCAATATATACGTATTTAGTGTGCAGGCTACTCAGATCAAAGCAGTTGATCGATGATTTTAAGTTGATATGGACTTAACAATCACATAAAATATAGAAATCTTAGTGAGAAGCCCTGATTGCACAACTACTTAAATTGAAGTAACAAGATAAGGCTATCATTTGCAATAATACGACTGGTATAATTGTCAGTCTACATCAAAATTATCAGTTGATACTTATTTCAATGCTTTTGGATTATTTTTATCCCATCAATGTCATTGCCAAGAATAAACTTTATAGGATAGAAACTGTTTTGATAAGAAAAACCAATAGGAGAATATTCAGCTAGCGTACATCAATGTGTGAGACTTCCATGTAGGAAACATTTAAGTTGTAGCAAGTTTCCTATTTTAAAATATGTAAATTCTCGGAGAGATCAATCAACTACAAGCAACATAGAGTCTAATACAAATGTGCATACGCTCAAGTTGCTACACCATAACAACAGGAAACGAATTTACCAAGAGGTATATCAGGGTATTAGTATTAGTAAGAGTGAAAATAAGATCAAATTTGAAGAGGATTTGAGAAAAAGGAAACAGTTCGTAAAATAAAATGCATGAAATAATCTTAAAATACAGAATTTTAGGAAAAACAGAGTGAATGCATTTGTTCCACTGAAACTGATTCTTAGACATGTCAGCTCGCCTTTTAAACCACTGATTGAGATTATAGCGCAAACTTCAACCAAATAACATTTAGCTACTAACATGGCTCAGTTAGACGGTCAATCACCTTGTAAATTGGTACCATATCTTGATTTGAAAGTCTCTACCTTTCGTCCAACATACTTCTATGCTAGCCAAGATTGCTCATTGGTGTATGTGGTGCATGGGGATACACAGTGCAGTGTTTTAAAAAATATTTCACAAGTCAACAGGCCTAATTTCTTTAATAGACTGAGAAAAGATGGACGTGATTATAATACTGAGCTCTAAATAATAAGCCACGTCTAATCTCGTCTACGAGTAATAAACTTATGTTCTAGTTAGATTATATCTGGTTTAGACTATGTTGATATTCCTAAGTAATAGTTATTTATTTCACTTCTCTCTTTTTCTTCTTCTTCATATTCAAATTATATGAAATACAATCCCATTATGTACAATAACAATATCATTATGTAGTTGTGTGTTTGATGCTTAACCTTCTATACTTTTTAGTTTTATCTGATTTGTCGGCTAATCTCTTCTATTCATCAGTAATAACTGCAACTTCATCAGTCTTAAAAGAAATGTATGTCTAGTAAACGAACCGTTTTTCGGTTTACTTATCGGTACCATTGAATCCTCTTTCTATACAATAGAGATACCGAGTTGGTAGTACCAAGTTTAAATATAAAAGTTTAGACAGAAACAACAATTTATTCAGTAAACAGCTCATGACAATCTGGGTTATATTTGGTGCCCCCGCAATGTTAGTTTGCCCATAAAAAGCTATGTATACAAAGCATTAGTGAGCGCTATTCTACTTTTCGCTTGTGAAACCTGATCTCTCCAAGTTGTTGAGTTACACTTTACCCTTAATCACCATTGTCTCCCAAGAATTGCTCAAAAAGCGTCTACGCCATTTTAGAAATGCTGAGGTTTATCAATATAGGTCCGAGTGCAATGAAAATATTTTAATGTCACCATCCTGAAACACCGGCTTCGACGGCTTGGACATGTGCTACGAATATACTCCCAGCAACTTCCACATCGCGCACTATATGGCGACCTTAGGATAGGGTGACAGAAGTGGGGAGGTGATCGGTTTGACATGTTCCATAGTATGAAAGAAGTCTGTTTACGACTGCCACCTGTTGATCCATCGTTAATCCGTGGTTGGGGTCCTAGAGTATATCATTTGTCGGCTTGAGAGATCATCAGAAATGGCTAATGATGGAAGCAATTAGCGATCCTGTTACAGCTTCTCCTTAACTGAAACCCCTTCTTGATTTTATCTCTAACTGTAACATAACTCATGATATATACTACTCTTATTCCCCTATTTAACTTTGTTTTTCTTTTTTTAGTTTTACTTCCCTCTTCCGTTGCTTCATAATATTATCTTATCACATGTGTGACAAACATATCTGGTGCCCGAGAGTACCGGGACTTGTGTATCAAATAAACAATTGATATAGTTGAAGTGGACAACTCTATCGAACCTGTTGAGAGAAACGTTGATTATAAAAATAATGACTGGAAAGGATTGAGGTAAGACAGGAAGATACACTAGAATATAAAACCGTAAAAATGTACACTAGTATGAGATCATCTAATTACAAATAATACTTGAGTACAAGACATTTACCTGAGCGTATTTAATAACCATAGATTCCTTTTCGCGTTTATATGTTTCAGCTAAATTCTTAGCTTGGATCCATCTTCCGCGCAGCTCACCTGAAGTTACTTGATGATTTGATTCCTTAGAATTATTTGCACGCTGCATATTTTCAACCCAAATACGTTTTTCTTCTAAAAGCCGATCAATCTGATCTTGTGAGGCCATGAGTTTACATGTTAGTGTTTCGATTTGTTTATGAAGTAATAAGTTATCAGACTGGTGAATAGAATCACTTAACAAATTCTTGTTATCTGGTAAATGATTAGAAGGCTGATAAGTGTCTATATTTACTGAAATCTCCTGAAGTAATGCGGAACTTGGAATAATATCATCTTTTTTGGAACTTAGTGATAACGACTCATAACCGGAGTTAGTGGGAAGCTGATAAGAAATAGTTTCCGCCTTATCTGTAGTTTGTGACGAGGTAGATTCAACTAAGAGAGATTTACCGTTGTGATTGGTTTCAGGACTAACATTTGAGTCAAGAGCATTTGAATTGACTGAAGATGGGTTTATCTGTTGTGTGTTAGATAATAAATCCGAACTATGGTTGCTAAGTGTGGATTCGGAGATATCAGTGTCATCGCCGATGTAGGGTACTTGTTTAGGTAACATTTGGTTCTGAATTAGTTTAACAGTCTTCAACTAGAAGATTTTGTGAGACTTTACAAATCGCTTCACTGACACTTAAGAATATATTCCTGGAGATAATCGCATTTAGGTTAATAACTATGAAATTTCAGAATGAGATTATTGATAATGAATTAATGTCCAATTCATAAGCTAACCTTGACAATATAAGGAACATTTATTTTGACATCGGATGCAAATCCTGAAAAACGATAACCTGAAACATATACATACGTTAAGTATAAAAACAACAGATGAGTACATACATGCAATAATGATATATTAACTAATGGAACTGTCTCAAATAATTAAAAATATTGGAAATGAAGTACGCAAAACTGCTATTCACTAGACTTTGTTGAGAGAAGTTGCAGGTAGGTGGTGACACAGATTAATCCTTAAAGAAAATTTGTTTAAGCAAAACCATTATTAAAATAGGGAACATTAAAAGCGCCCAATTTTTATTCATTTATCAAAAACTTTTTGTGCAGTAGACAAAAGTGAGACCAAACAACCGAATTATTTGGCAAGAATAATGAATACATCAAGGAAATTATGAAGTGATTCAAGAGAAATCCAAGAAATCAGACTCGTAAATCCATACAAGTCTATTTGGGAAATACACATTAACAACCCAGAACCTGAAACGAGTTATCACTGCAAGCTAAAATAGCGAATCGAGAGAGTCAAACGCATAATATAATATCATAACCGTCTGTTCCAATGTTACTGAGATTGGTTTCTTTTGCCTATTCTGTAGCTACAGATTGTTCTCTCGTAGACTAAAGCAAGAAGGAAAATCAACACGATTAAAAAAAGGAATAAACACAATGATACTAACAGTGTTGAAAACTAGACAGAGAGAGTAGCCTTTGAAAGTAACTGATGGATAGCTGTGAACAGTACTCAAGATCCCTGTACATCTCTGACTGACCTAAACACAAAGTCGGAATGGATAACATTGGGTATCAAGATATCGTGGGGCGACACTGACTAACTGGGAGAAATCAACGAGAATTGTGACAAATTTGCAAATTTATGTGCACCCAACAAAATGGTTATAGGCGACACGATATTCACTCACAAACGCATACATAAAGCTAAATGAGTCTCACAGAACCACACTACACTGAACCACAAAGATCATATTTGTGTCAATAAAAATTTTAGGACAATGGGACACGTGAGAACCATCTACCTGGTGGTTGCCAAGATGAAACTGAAGCGACAGACAACTTGACAAACAGTATTACAAAGGTTCAAGACAGACTAAATTCGACATACTGACAACCTGAACAAATTCAAGACAGTTCACAACAACGGGTACCAAGTATTACAAGGTCTACTCACAGAAAAAGAACTACTATGGAGGATGATTGGAAAGGGACCACAGAAGCAATAACTTCGTGTCAGAAGCTACTGGGTCTCAACAAGGATCATCATAAGTAATGGATCTCTATGGAAACTCTGGACAGGATTCAACAAAGGAAGAACAAGAAGACAACAATCAACAACAGTCGAACAAAAACATAGAAAGTCAAACCACAAGCTGAATACACTGAAGAAAACAAGCAAGTGAAGAGGAGCATTAGAGCTAACATTTAGAAATACGTAGAAGACAAACAACGACAATGGAAAAAGCTGCAAGAGAAGGAAATTTGAGACAACTAGTTGCCGAGTTGATGTAAGACATACATTTTTCAAGGAATTATAATTCCTTGAAAAAGCTTGGACCAGATTGCCAGGCGAAACGTTGGATTTAGTACAAATTCATTCGCTGAGATTTTACAAATATACATTATTCCTATTTAATGAGAAACTACTATTTGTTTATAGTTGGGATACCAACCAGTCTTAATTGAGACAAGTGGTAATCCCAAAGTTGGAAATCTATGGATTAATTGTGATATGCATCGAATTTCTTGTACGTTTTCCAAATTCTCTTAATCGGAAAGAAGTCCATGTAAATATTGATAGTTTTAAAACGCCAAAAAAACAATTGCGAAAACAAAACATTAAAGTTCATACCGTCCTTGAAGTGACCAATAGAATTCAAGGCAGTTGTATATTCAAATGGTTCAAATGCTTGCGGAATAGAATACAGGAGGCTTTCGCCTAACGGGCTTCCGTGTCTAGTAGCGGTGAATCACCAATACATCCAGTCAGGAACATAGGTATATTACCGGTTATATAGGAAAAAGAAATTGGCACATCATAGTAAGATCCTCAGTCCCTAAGAATCCGTCGTTTCCTCTTAACGGACTCCTGCGAAGTCGCCCATTCGTCAGCGAGTTCCAACATTTCAGTTCTCTTAAACAGTAGACGTTGCGTCGACAGTCCGTTCCACTATGTTGTGTCTCCAGTTTCTGGGTATTATTCCTTAGGTTTGTGTTTGAACTAAACTTAAGTAGGTGTTTATTGGGATATAGAGAAGTATTTAAGATGCTGTAAGTCGTTAGGTCACCTCTAAAACGACTGCAATATAATGAGTAAAGGGTCAGTGATTGAAGGCGCTCTTCATAAGGTTTGAATTTGAGTCCCCGAACTGATTTCGGAGCTCGTTGTTGGATATGTTCCAGAGTGTCCTTATCCTTTAGGAGTGAGGAAGGAAATACTGTTTCCGTACTCTAAATGGGAACGAATAAAACTATTTAAGATTTTGTGGAAACTTCTTCCGTCGAACTGGTCAAAAATTTGCTTCAACGAGACCAGTGCAAGGTTTTCTCGAAAGACACTTTTGTCGCACTATAGATCGTAGGGTATCAACGCTCCCAAATCTTTTTCAACTTCGGATAGTTCTAGAGAAGAGTTTCTCAAGCTGTAACTGTAGTCTGCAACATATCTCAGATGAACTACTTTACTCTTTGAAGTGTTAAGTGTAAGTCCGTTGTTATCTCCACAACTTTGAAGTCGAATCAGATCATCCTAAAGTGCCAGACTCGGCTTAGCGAGTGTGATAACATCACGCTAAGCGGTGTTGCCAGGATTGAAGCTGCTTCCCTCATTATAGCAGAATGAACCGTATCAGAACCAGAAGAAGTATCACTTTTACGTGCTGTAGTTTCCGTTACATCAAGTCAGCGCTCAGGTTGAATTCTCTGGGTTCTGAGAAGTTGCAGATGGAACTTTCATCAACATAGGTAATGTGGTTCGGTTGGAATGCTCGAGAGTATTATTCAGCTAGGAGGTTAGCGGCTCTATCGTCGTTATCGGCCGGGCCATCAGGACCCATTAGTTGGGAAGTTCCAGTTTTGGCTTGTCGAAGAGAGGCTGCATAACGGAATAAGCTTTCCGCATTAGAGACAAATTTATCGATAGGCTTGGTCTGGTACTGAAGCCTGTCTTCTCCTATTGCCCTTGTGCATATGTTCCTCATATGTTTGTATTGTCTGAACGCGCCGTTGTTATCAGTTCGTTTGTATTCTGCCCAACAGTGCCTTTTGCGGCTTAGCAAGCGAAAAGTATGGATCTTGATGATTGGAGGTTGCCTGTAGATTTTGTGGACCGTTTGAGGAACTGACTGCTTTGTGGAGCATAAGATCATGCGTAGTAAGAAATCTTGATGAGGTTTCACATCAAGTTCAGTATGAATTTTTTAGTTCATCTACTGTAGATTGTCCTGTAAATCTGACACATCCTCGTGTGTGGACATATTGTGTAAAAACATGCTGCAAGTACACAGTCAATCTCATTCTTGGTCTGTTATATATGAAGCATTTCGAATTCTGTAGTTAGCGAACGGAACAAAGACTTCTGACCATAGACCGAAAAGCTAGCTTTTCTGACGCGACCCAGACCCAGATAACTGGAGTAAGAAGTCCAAGTCTGAAGTGGGGAAAATATATTCCTTAGCAACCAGAAGCACAGCAATCGTAAGGGTAAAAAATCAAACGTATATATACAGCAATAAATTGTCCTTGGGCAGCATTACAAAACAGCACACTGAAAGATACAACGGATCAATAGCGTTTAAAATATTTTACAAGTGGGAACTTCGACTTCAAGTTGAAAAGAGCGCTTTTGGCACGAAAATGAAGAAATTCAAATTTTAAAAATAAAATTACAAAATCAAGCCATTTACCAAGTGAGTTCTGGGGATTTGACATCCCCAACAGGGTCTTCACTAACTATTTCGTCCTGTCATTGTAGATAATATGTTACCTAACGCTAGATAATAAGCTTTCTGTTCCAGTTTTTTATGTAATGGCCATTTTTGGTTACCATTTTAAACGTTGTTTACTGCCTTTTTTTCACTTAATGTTGTCTCACACGGTAAACCATGACTTGATTTCCTTATTACACGAAAGTCATTTTAATTCCGCTTTCGGTATGTTCACATGCAACATGTGATTGGCAAATATCTAACCAATCACTGGAATTCTCCACGAACCTCACCATAGTCTTCATATATATTTGTATCTGCGCGTCCATCTGTTACACTAATAGACTCAAGCAGACGTTCAGCGCAAATGTCAGAATGATGTTATTTCACTGTGGCATCATGACACATAGGAACCATTGTATTTATTATACTTCGACGTCGTACTTTCTGTATTTTACGAAGTATTCGTTCTGCAGGGCCGTTGTCAAGCGTTTTTATTCTGTACATCATGTCATTGTCACCTCTTTCCCAACACTGACAGCGTCTTGCACGAATATCATTGACAACAGTTCAGAGTGACACTTGTCAAAGATCCCATATCCCCAGGAATCACTCGGTAAACGTCCTGTTTTTGTGATTTTATTTCGAAAATTCACATTTCTTATTTTCGCGCCAAAAGCATCGAATTTCACCCTCGGATTTTATTTTCCACTTGGAAGGGCTTCAATCTTATTGGTTCGTTTCCTCTGTTAGTAAACTATTATGTGACGTTTGCCAAGGACATTTTTATATGATATATATACATTTGAGCTGAGTGGTTATTCTTTCATACTTCCGGCTGCTTGTGAAATATACTTTTCCCTCGATTGAATCTGGCCTTCTC